AGAAATATTTACATATTATATACATATTCTGAGAAGAGTTAGGGACATGAGACTGGAACCAGTATTGTCTATTAAGCATATTGTGCTAAAGAAATCAAAACCCATATGCATTTAATATCATGATTTAAACAAGCTGAAGGGCATGTGATCACAGTAAAAAACAGTAGATAAGCATATCAAGTGCCCACAAATCTGTGGGCAGCGGTTGGGCCTTAGATTAATGATAACAACCACACTTAACAGAGAGGGACAAACTGTATTAGGACACAAGATAAGAGTGAGCTACCTTTTAGCTGAAATTTTGAATGTGAAAAAATTTCAGTGACAATTCAGGCTAGTTATTTTGTGGGCTATTATGTTTTCACTAAAGAATTAAAATTCTGTGAAAATAATAAGAGAAATGTCATCATTAATAAATAAATAATAATAAAAAAAAGCCAAATCTTCAGTGACACAACATAATCCTAAATAAAAGTACCTTTGGCGGGTGAAAAGGAGACATTGACTATCTGTGTTATGGTCAATTGGTTCATTGAATCTGAAGTTCTGGCAGTACTTTTGTCATGATAATAGCTGTAGCACTTCCATTTCAACAGCTCAAATGATGGAATTCATCTAAAAAGCCAATGTTATTCCATTTTGGGGGAAAATGTGAACACTTCTTCATGACTCTGTTCATTGTTCCTGTTTGATCATAAATTAGTACAGATTAGCTTTCCCATTATGATCAGTGCTAGCTCCTGTTTTTATCTTTCTTCAAAAAGGAAGCAGAATTAAAAAAGCATATTTGTTCATCTTGTGTGTCATGTTTAAAATGCATTCATTAGCAGCTGTCAGCCCTCAAGAAAGAGTGTCAACACTGATGAAGACAGCCTCTAAAGGTTTCATCTTACCTTCATTTATCTGTTGTCCCCAGAAGGTATGAATTCATTAAAAAGAAATAAAGAAATAAAGAAGGAAAAAAAAAAAAAAAAAGAAACTAGAGTAATGACTGCTTTTGTCTTTTGTTTAAATGTATTTAGAAAGCTGTTCAGGCTTGAATATTGGCTCCAAATGTTAATGACACCTGTTTTGTTGTATGAAAAAAAGAAAAATATTTACAAGTCTGAACTTTACTGTAGGTCTCTGTGCTACTGCTCCCATGAAACATTACCTCCGTCAGTAATGCTGATCTGATTTATTGTTGCTGCAATATAGCATGCATTACTTCGTTAAATAATTTTGTGGGAAAATATTCTGTTTTTAAGTTGTTTTTCCTCATGTAATGAGGCTAAACTCTTCTATTGGGAGATAGTTGTATATGCAAGATGTTTGAAATCATGAAACTGCTGCTATGGGTATATATTATTTTCTATTGCAATTTTCAGTCATTAGCATCTAAATGTGATAAAAACGAAATGATTGAAAGACCAGTACTAGAGCCCAGCACATGTTCCTGGATGTACATAATAAGTTAGGTATTAAGATTTTCAAGAATAGCTTCTACTCTGGAGGATAATTTAATACACAGCTTATGTAAGAATTCTGCAATTAATGGACCATTCTGTCCTTGGAGACAAATTTTAAGTATTCTGCATTCAATATGCATTTTATCTGAAAAGTTATGTTGTTACATAGTCATGCTGCATATACATTATGTTCACATCACATATATATGCAGATTAACATTTTAACCACATTTTGTTGTGTGTTGTTAAATGTCACTTGATTTGATTTTTTTTGTTGCCCACATAGGACTTGATGTTCCCCTGACACTTTTGCTGGCATCTGAACTGGAGAAGAGGAATGTAGCCTCTTCTCCTGTTCTGCCAACAGTATCCAAGAGAAGGCTGAACATCTGAGTTCACATGTTGAGGGTAAAGAGCTTTTCAAACACACTGTTCTTATCCACAGAAATTAGATGAGCCTTTAGTGAAATCAGGCATTTTAAATACATCCTTGAAAATTAATTGATAAATGAGTCGAGCTAAAAAGTAAGGGGAGAATTAACAAATGATTCATTAAAATATTTTACAGATTAAGTAATTTCCTTATAAAGCATCTTACAGTTATAAGATTTATTAATAAATTTTGAAAATATTTTTCACCACTTTCAAAATGTTTCAATATAAGCTTTTTCATAACTACTAATTGATTACTTTTTAAATATGATGAACTCTACCACAGTTAAACTACAACTGCAGGTTTAAGTTCCACATTTCCCACCAAAAACATTACTCCTGCCATGCTAATTGCTACTGCTTTAGTAAAATCACTATGCTTCTGTTGCATTAGGAGTTTAGACGAGGAAATCATTTTACAGAACTATTGTTCTTTATTTTTATAACCAAGTAATTATTGTGATGATTATGATTCCAAGTGGAAGTATTGTCAGAACTTCATTAGCTTCAAAGATAGGGTTTCTGCACATACTACTGATACAATATGTGTTATCTTTGTTTTCCATATTTGAAACTGAACATAACATTAGCACAATAAAAATGAGGCTGGAATAATCTTTCAAGCTCTATGACAGTGAAGATCACTGAAGAAAAGAAAGCTTCTTGCATCATCTTTATTTATTGAAAGCTAAAATTTGCTGTATATTCATGTCCATTCTGAAGCATTCATTACATTGCAGAGTAACATTAATCAAACATTCTATGGCCTCAATACATTCTCAGCATCAACTGGACTATCAGAGAAGAAAGTGTAAGTCAGTATTAATATATGTGTTAGAATGAGGCATCCTACATCCAAACAAGTAAAGAAAGAAAAGGAGTCCTTTACATACATGGATTGTATTTAGCTGATTATGATGAAAAAAATAAAAGTTCACTAAGAGTTACTATGCATGATGTTCTTTGATGTTGTAATTTCTACCTCCACTTAAAACTGTGTGTGCCCTGTAACCAATTAGTAAGAAATACAGAGAAGTGCACCCTGTTATGTAGAAGAGTCCTTCATTTGCTTCCTATGAGCCTGGCCATGCATCTGCATGTAATTACAAAAATGGCACCTAACTTTGAACTTCAAATTCCATGAGAAGCACTGGTTCTTCTAGGTGCCAAACAAAAAGGACGATGTCAAACATATGTTGGCACAAATACACCATTTCTTCTCTTCATAGATCTAACAAATCCATTTTGATAGTGACATCTGGACAGGAGGAGGGAAAATAAAAAAGAAAAAGAAAAGGCATTTTGAAGCCAAAGCTATAACACTATGGCTCAAGTTTCTTTTGCAGTATGTAATTCCAACTGTCCCTGCCCATGTCCTTTTTTTCCTATTAAAATCTGTTGATTCCATAAGTAAATGTAAATGTGTTAAATAATTTCTTATTTTATTTTTATGACATTAATAGCATTTTGTCTTAGGTAGACATTGTCCAAGTACCACTTCAGTACTCTGCAAAACAGCCAAATATTTTAGAGGCAGACCTAATTTGGATCCTTTTTAATGTTTTACAGATTTTGTTTAATTGTGCAGATGAAAATCTATTTCTTTCTTGTTCATTTGAAGATACCTCTGTCACTGGAATAGTGTCATTTTCAAGTGGATTTTGAAACTGTTTTGCAGGACAATGTTGCATGCATATTATACTAGAAAACAAAGTCCCACAATTATTGAACAGATTAGTCCTAATCTGTCTATATATCTTTTTACTATTCAGTGCTCTCTAGAGGGGGAAAATAAATAAATAAATAAATAAATAGAGAGATAAATAAATAAATAAATAAATAAATCTCCTTTCCAGATAGAAGTGTAAAACTTTTCTGCAAACTTGCACTTTTTTCCCAATTATCATGCCAAAATCTCCCTGTTCTTATTGTCACCCAATTCTTACAACAGAATTCTGTAATTCTTTGAAGTAGTATTTGTAAGGATGGTATCCAAAACAGGTTGAAGTTAATGCTTTTATAGCTTGAACATTGCCTGTCTTTTTTTATCACCTTTCCTAAGAAAATGTCTTGACTTAACAGGCTTTCTTTCAGCATCATTAGCTCTTAACAGGTGGCTGGCATTCACCACATGTTTTTAAAACATAACCCCTTCACAGAGGTTGAGGATCAACCAAGAAAAGTGCTACAGAAGGCTGCTTTTAAAATGATGCTTGTAAGTGAAACATTACTCCAGGGAACATTTAAGGAAAGCCAACAATTTTGGGCAATGTCCATTAAGACGCTGCTCTGGAAATTGAACATAAAATATATAATAGCAGAACTGATTATAATGAACACACAGAAAATTTACCCTAAAAAAAAAAAAAAAAAAAAAAAAAAAAAAAGAACCAGAGAGTTTTAGTAAAGATTTTACATCTATACTGCAAGATTTAAAGTTTTAATCTGATTTTTTCTCACTATCTTGCTCTGCTATAGTATAAAAAAGGGGTGGAATTAATTCTGTTGTGCATGGTAGGCATTTCTTTCCCTCAGTATATAAAGAATGTCTTACTTACAAGTCAATAATTTACTGTATGTACTTCATTTTATTGTTGCTTTTGATATCTTCTGTTTTCATATTAGGAGTACTTACTATACATGAGCTAATACTGGCATCAGTGCCTATGGCCCAAATAGCAATCATTATTGGATGACATAATGGCTTCTATTTAAACTGCCATCTCAATAACTTAATATATGCATTACATCTCTATTACACTGCAATCCAAATGGTACCCTATAAAGAAGGTGTCTTCTTTACATAGATCTACTGTTCATGTGAGTAGAGAAGCTGCCTGCTTGTTTGGTTATGAGTGATAGCTGTACATTATTGAAGAACAACATGGTAATTGTTTCACAGGCTTGCTTAATGACAGATATAGAAATCTTAACAAATTTTAATAAACTTGCACAAGTCACATGTGTCTCCACGGAGAATGGGGGGAAGAATTAAGTCCAACTCATTTCCCCCAAGGACAGCTTAAAGAGTTTTAGCAATATACATAATTTCTAGACTTTGTCAGCTATTGTATGCAATCAGATAAAAAGCCAGGATGACATGCTTGTTTAGCAGGGCCTTTTATTGCAATTTGCAGGGAAAAAGTGGATAAGCTGATGAAGCTAATGTCTATCTTATACAAGATAAAGTTTAAAATTATTGTAAAATAGAGCATGCATTCCCAGTAGATCTGAACAAATTAGGTTATTTTCAGTTACAGATGACTACTTTTTTCCTTTGACTTTCATGTGTAATACTGCAATAAAATGTGTTTCACAGAGTGAGTACACCCGAGCATGGGCGTTTTAGAGACTTCCTATGACACAGTGTGCTGGTATTATGTCATCAGGAATGGTTGGGAGGGAATGCCTTTGAACTTCCTCCTCTCTTCTTTGACCTGAACACCTGCATCCTGGATGGTATCTCTTCAAGTTCGTCATGACAATTCAATAGGAAATGGCAATCATAACAGATCCACTGAAGTCCTGCATACCACATGGAAATAAGGTCAGGTCTCACATGAGCAATAGCTCCTCATGCTTCAAAAGTTGTCATACTGTGAGGAAAAGAACATGTATAATTAGTGTAACTTTAACAAAAAGCAGCCTATGTCTGTTAACTGTTTCTGGTGTGTGCTTTTTTTTTCTTTTTTTTCTTTTTTTCCCCAAATGCTAGCATTTGGCTTTGAGAATATATGTATGTGTAACTATATATTTTATTTTTACATGTGTTACATAAGGCTATCCACTTTTTTAATTAAGGCATATATAACTTTAAAACTATAGTCCCTTATGCTTCATGTGGGACATGGTTTTTACTGCTGAATAATTTATCATTTAGTAGTTCTGATTCTATTTTCTTGCACTGACTTGGCAAAATGCATGTAAGATTTCTAAGACTGATAGAAGAAAATTGCATAGGTAGTTAAACTATCCCACTGAACCAGGAAGTGAGCATGAAGAGGTCAAGGAGAAAATACAGGACAGATGGATAATAGTACAGAATTTTGCCCAAGGGGGTAAATATAAATTTGGATCTATGTGTTGAGTGAACTGTAGAGACAGAACATTTGTCTGCCCTGGCATTCTGAAATTCGCTAGCAATGTAACTACATGTCTAGCCAGAGGAATTTCAAGGTGAATGACATACTAACTGACACCTGCCAAGATTCTCAGTCACTGGAAGTTCAAAGTTCCACCACAGTGGTTTGACATTGTATTTGCTTTGAGGGGTTGACTTTTACTGATTATGAACTACCCTTACGTATTATAACTGTCTAGTGCTTTTCGAAGCACTATAAGATAATTTTGATTCATGAGACAATATTTCACTGTAATACAATTATTGAATCTTTAAAACAAGACACATACATTTTCAGGATTGTCTCTGAAAAAAGGGTTTTAGACAAAACATGAATATTTATTTCCTGGTAAGTGAAGCAAGAAGCTCACACTGTCCCCAGTATTCATATGGATAGGTAACTTACATTCAATCTGATAAAATTTTAAGAACAAATATTGGCAGAGCAACTCCAAGAAAACTTTTGAACTTCTAATTTAAAATATCAATATTAAAAAAGCATATCTTGTTCAAATAAAGTAGAAAAGAACATTTGTTTTTCATTTATTTTTCCTACTATCTGAAGTTGTATGTGGGTTCAGAGATAGAAATGCCTGTAGTTTCTCAGGTATATGCTCTGCTTTAATTTAATCTTTAGTCTAACCTTAGCTCACTAAGGAAAGTCTTTGCAGACCTTTCTTTGCTAATGTAGCCATTCAGAAGCATTACCATATGTCCAGGCAGTCCAAGTCCAGAAAAATAGAATAGGGAATGTAAAAGTATAGTTAGACAATATGATTGAGTTAATCCTTTCCCTTCTTGCTGCCAAACGGGTATGATTCTTCTTTTTCTGTCTTTCCCATATTTGTATGCCTAAACTATTCATATTTTTATGTTCCTAAAATGTGTGGTCACCCTCACATGAAACTTAGACTTACTTTAGAAATGTATATTTTAATCCTATGATCATTCTTTGTATTTACTGCATTTGTGATCCAATGAGACAAATTCACTTTTTCAAAGATCCATCAAAATGCTGCATAGCTTAAGCCTCTTATATTCTGAAAAGAATGAGCTCATAACCTGCTATGATTCTCTTAACACAGGTAACCCATAATGAATGAGAAAGGTTTAATGCTGAATGAACCTGGAAGTTTATTCTGAAACAGTAGTCTAAAATAAGCTGAAGTATTCATATGCAGTTAACTAGCTACTCTCTACTAATTCCTAATCAGGACACCACTTATGTATACCATCACTTAATAGGTTCTAACTTTGTCTGTTCTACCAAAAATCATAGCATTTTGATTCCTGGCACTGTTTTTCTAGCTTGATCTCAGATACTTTCACCAGAGAAAGTGCTGACCTGGAATGATACCTCCCAAACTCCATTAATATTTAAACCTTTTGGACTAGGAATGATGTAGAATAGATATCCCTGGCAGGCCGGCAGAGTGTTGCTCTGCAGGGTTTGCATGGATGTTCCATGGGTGGAACATCACTTAGACTTCACTGAAAAGATCAGGATTCAGTGCTGACTTAGGTACTGGGATGCAGTGGCACTGATTCTCAGATGTGATAAGCACTTAGGAACTCAGATCAAGAAAGACATTTGCTTACCCTACCACTGCAGATAAGAAGATTTTTTTTACTACCTTGCAGGCTTTATGTTTCTGTCTGTTCTTTCTGGTAGACTGTGATTTCCACATCTCAGACATGCATACGCTTTCACAAAAAAAAATACAAACCTACCATGTTTATCTACTTTTCTGAGGCCTCATATGCTTTATGCATATAGAGGCATATTTCCTTCAGAATGTGAGATTTTCAAGTTTGTATATATGAAATAACCAGAATTTGCAAATACTCTCCATAAAAAAAGTCTGCTAATAAATTCAGATGTAGATAGTCACTGACAGCCTTTATTAGAAAATCTGTTCCATGTAACAGAATCCATCAATAATCCCCAGCACTGCAGTACAGTAATTAAAATAGTAATGGAACATTGATTAAACCTACAAAAAAATACAAGACTGTCTTAACACAGAAGCTGAAGTAAAGGGCTAGTCACAAAGAGCAGAAAGCTAATAGAAGTTATATTGCAATTACAAGTAGAAAATAAATTCCAAAGGAATTATCAATATGATTTACATCTCATTACAACAGCAGAGGTCATCTTGCCATTTGAAAAGCTGCAGTGAACTGGCAAGATAAAAGGTAGCAAGTACTCATATGACAGGAGTTAAAACAAGTAAAACGTTTTTTGTAAAGCAAAAGTTTTCAAGGAGTGTAATTTATGCCTTCTATTTTAAAACTTCCAAACAAAGCAGGTGTTTCCTGAAGGAGCTCACAAGCTGCAGGCAGTAGAAGAAGAAGAAATATAAAAATGTGATGTGTTCAGAGTTTCATCGTTTATAAACACAGATAAATTACTACTAGGTTTTGTGGGCTTTTTCACATTTTACAACCAAACATGGAATTTCAAGTGTTATTCATATGTTAATTTTTTACCTGTTTTTAACTGCAGAAAAACCATCTGGAATCAATAATTGCACATCTTGAACTAAAAAAAAAAAAAAAAAAATCACGTTTCTTTTTCTGTTATCAACAGTTAATGTATTGTTAAGCTTTGAAAATTCTATGCATTTTGACACTTTTAAAATATATATTAACTTCTACACAATTTGTATGTTAGACTTCTACATTTTATATCTTGCTCTCTATAAATCTATATCAACCTACCTGTGTTTGTATCCATATGTTTTTGAGCAATGAGAGAGAAAATATAATAAAAATCCTCAGGTTTTTGCTTTGAGACTTTAGACTGTGTACCATAGAACCGCAATGTAAGCTAAGGTTGAAGGCCACTCTGAAAGTCATCAAGACCAAGCCTGCACAAAATGGGGCTAACATCCCAGTGATATCAGGTCACTTTCATTTTCATCTAGCTGTGTTTTGAATTTCTCTAAAGACAGATGCCACAGCTTCTATACCCAGCTGGAGTTTGACTGTTAGTTGAATTCAACAAATAGTTCTTTCCCATTAGCCCTTTCTTCTCCAGACTGAACAAATGCAGCTCCCTCACCCTTTCTTGTGCAATGTATTGCAACCCTCTCACCAGTCTCAGTCTTGTGACTCTCCACTGATTGTGCTGTGAAAGAAAATATTTACTGCAGCAGAATTCAGGGGCTTCTTACAGACAGCAAAACTGAAGAACAGTTTGAGAGAGACAAATGAAGAACACACAGTTCTTTTATCATAGTCCTATCAGCATGGTGGCTAGGAGTACTGGAATTCAGCACCACTAAATATATGTCCTAATCCTTACACATTTTGTGTATGCATACACACATACACATATTTATTTGCATATTCTTGTGTTTATATTTTCCAATATAAGTGTAATAAATAAAGGCTTTATTTTCATTCTAAACTACACAAGTAGGCTTTCCATGGAATGATATAGGAACAGTGTGGTGGCTTATAACAGTTCAGGAAAAGTTACCCTTCCTCTGATAAAGCTTTCTATGTGTTTTAGAGGATGTTCCAGAGACTGATTTTTACTGCAAGGTCAGAACTGCTGTACCTTTGTATGACAGCCTTTTTCTCTTCATTAAAACTATAAAGCCATCTGTTTACCTGTCTACATTGTTACTAAAACTCAGCTGGGTGCCTATGTCCTCTACAAGCGTACAGTACTTTAACTCATTGACAGCTATAAAGTTCTTGTTACTCTTGACATATAACTAGCAATAACCAGGATATATTGCTTGATCTAAGACAGCAAAGTGACTATAACTGAATTAAAACAAACCTATTGCTGACCACTCATTTTCTTTTAAGTAAATTTCATTTACTTCCTTGATTGTATTGAGATATGTGCTTAAGAGATAGCAAATCAAATGCAAGCAAGAAGCTGCCATAATGTAACCCTTTAAAGAAGACAGTACATGATTGTGAAGCTTTATTTACCCTAGAAGTTACCCTAAGTAACCAGCAAAAGTCGTGACACTTTTCTGCAAGGAATGTTGAAAAAGCTAATTATTTTAAACTTTTGGAAGATGTAAATTTGAGTAAAGTCAAAATTATAAACCAGATGCATTATTGTGTAGATATGCATATAGAGGGAGAGGTCTTCTGTGGGCAGAAATAATGTTAAACTAAATGGCTGAAGATAACTCTTTAAACATTTAATAAGAACATGTAAGTGTATTGCAAACTGTTAGTTTCAGTAGCAATTTTCTAAATACATGAATTGCATACACTAACTGTTCCTTCTCTATTACTTGCACTAGAAACTCCTTGTGCACTGCAAGAATTCCAGTTTAAAAAGTGATTATACCTTTTTCCTAGCAATACTATTGATACTGATGTTGTTTTGAAAATTTCTATGCCATGATTAGCTAAATAGATATACTATCTTGTTTAAAATAAAATTGCAAATAGTAGTGGTGTCAGATTATTCTTGGTCATCTTCAATCATTTTCCTTCTCGAAGAAAGAATTAAGTTTAAAATATAGACTGTATCAGACCTATATTTGCAAGGAGATGACTCTGAAAAGCTTTATGAGGTCATGCTATAGAATTTATGATAAAAAATGCAGGATTACTCATTTAAAGGAGTCCCCTTATAATTACTCCTAAATAGAACTGTTTGTACAAATGTTTTTTTTTTTTTTACTTTCAAGGACTTCTTTGAGAATGCACATCTAAGTGTCCTTAAATATATATACATATATATGTGTGGTGACTTGTTAAATAGAAACAAAAAGGAAGATTGATCCAAGATATTGGAATCAATTGCCATGGTCTGAAAGCTTTGTACCATTTTCACTTAGTCCCTTACAGTGCAATATGCCTCTCTCTATCATAAGCAGTAAGGTTGCATCTGTTCAAAGAAAATGAATTATTCTTGTTGGAGAAGGACCAGTATATCTCCTGTCTGACGAGGCTAACAAGCATCAGAAAACAGATGCATTGTAGAGCACCTATGACTGATGTTAACCTGGCATAGTTAGATGAAGCCTAAAATAATCTTATCAGTCAAAGCAGTCATTTATATTGTCAGTGTAAAACAAACACAGATGTATTCTTTTCTTTAGGTTTCTAAAAGAAGTCAAGCTATTTATCAATATTTTCTCTCAGAGTGTCTGCAAGAAATAGCTCCAAAAGAAACATCAAATGCAAGCAAGTATCCTTTGGAAAAAGAATACAAAACCAAACACAAACCCTCCTAACCATACTATGGAGATTTGCTAAATCATAAAAACTGCAGGATAACTCCTTTCATATCTACAGCATGAACGTGGCTTTGAAAGTCCAAAGGAACAGTCAAATTATTTGCATACTTATTGGAAGCATATTTGACCTTAGACAGCAGTACTCTTTAATGTACAAATTTATGTTATGCTCATCTCTTTTGAATAAAAGTAGTTTAGCTACAACATATTGGGCTGTGGGCAATCTGTTCATGCTGGAAGAACAAAATGTAAGAAACAGATTTGGGGTTGCACCAATGAAAAAATGTAGTTTTATTAATTCAGTGTAGCTCTAATAGAGGGAATCATCTATGATATATATCAAAATGATTTTAAGCATCTAACTGTAATTATTATCAACTCAATATCATTATTAAGCATAACTGGAGATGCACGTATCAAAGAACCTGTTAGTACTGTTTAGTACTGTTAGTACTTTATTTAAATTTGAAGAGCTTGTGTTTAAATAAGCAAATATTATAAAAACACAAATGAAAAAGAGATGGACACATGCCACACTACAATTAATAGCAAAACCTAAAAGAAAAAAGTAATGGAAGCCACCATACCATTATGCTTTATGCATAATACTTTACCCCTTGATGCTTTAATGTTTCACCCCTTGATGATCGCTGCTTCAATAAATATTCACTATTTCTCCATAAATATTCATTCTAATACATTTCATCAGTAGCTATTTTCCCATTTAAAATATAAAAGGCTAATGTGTTTTCTTGAGTTTCTTGTTTCTTGAACAAATTTGTTTCACATGCACATACAATTCATGAAATATTCATACTATATTTGCCACATCCATGAGAAGAACGGAATCCTGCCATATGTTTAAAGTGCATTATGTTTTAAAAGGTCATGAAAAGTTGTCAGTTTTGTAATACTGTCACTTTTTTAAACGTGTGCAGTACATTTCACCAGACATATAACATATGTGCTATATAGAAAACTTACATTGTTTCCTTATGGGCATCTCTGCACTCAACAATCTTCAAAAAGATGAATCAAATGACTTAAATATAATAGATTAGGATCATTTTACAGACTGGCTAGTAGCATTAGGAACTGGAGCAGACACAAATGGACTGCTCCATAAAGTGGCTAAAACTACAGCTGCTGTAACTTATAATAGGACCTCAGAAATCTCACTGAACCATCTCCCTTGTGAAGACCAAATGATGCAAGTCATTGCATATCAAGTCATCAAGTCTTTTTAGACAAGCACAAGAAGAAATAAAACAAGGACTAATGCCATACGGAAGCTTGACATTGACTTTATTAAAAATAAATAAATAAATAAATAAATAAGGAAAAAAAAAAGACATTCTCCAACAGTAGAAGACATATGGGACAACAGGATGATTAAAAATTTTCATCCTGAGGTAGAGAAGGACATTACATGAGACCAATGGTTCAGCCGCAGCTCTGCAGCTCCCTGCTTTCTGTCTTCAGATCTATGGAGGTGGGTACTTGTTTATGAGCACCAAACCAGTCATTAAAACCCTTGACCACCATCACTGTACAGTCTCCATGGAGCATCACTGCCCTCTTCTGGGATTTAGTCATTATAAGGACACTCAGCATTAAGGATGTAGGCTCCATGTATTGACTTCATTCAACATTAAGAGACTCTTAATTGATAAATGTCTTATTCTTCCCAGATTCCAGTTTAAGTAACTGTCCACTCAGACTCACCTATTTCATTAGTCTATAGTGCTTATTTGCTTAAATTACCTAATTGATTCATCAACAGTCTGCTTAAATATGAAACCGATTCCAAATACTTTGAATCATCTTGAATCAGTCTTGCTTTTTCTCTGAATGTTTAATTAAGTTATTACAGAGTTAATTACCTTCCCAATTAATCATTTATGTCCTAATAAATTTTCTTGCTATTTATTTTCAACACACTTTCTTTTATCTTCTACTTTTAATTCCATGTCCTTCATCTCTTAATAACATCCTTTGCCACATTCCTACCTATTTTTAAATTTTTTCAGCAGAGTAACCCAGTCTTTTGCTTACTCTACTGAATACATTCTTGCCTGCCCTGAAAACTACTTCCCATTAGCTCTGAGTCATTTGTTATAACCTTCCTAGAATTCTTTAAGCAATTCTTTCACCATCGAATTTGATGACCTCACCTGTTAGTTGTTTCTGTCTATTTTTCAGACTCTATCACAATGACTTCCACAAGAAAGATGTTTATTTATTTATTTATTTATTTTGTGACCAAGAAATTTGATATACAATCTCTTTGATGAGCTGACAAAGCTTGGCCAGATTTTTCATT